TGGCATGCTGCAGTCCATGGGGTCACAGAGTCAGACAGGACTTAGCAACTGAACAACAACAACAAATTCATTATATTATCCAGGAGTATTCACAGAGGTCTAGTCTTGTGCTGATACTGTAGCCACTAGCTTTTTAAATGTAAATGAATGAAAATTAAATAAAATTTGAAATTCAGTTCCTCAGTCACTCTAGCAAGACTCCAAGTGAGTAGAAGCCACATTCCTGGTGGCTCCTGTGTTGGACAGCACAGGTAAAGAACTCTTCTGTGCTTTGCACAGTTTTAATTGTAGAGAATTGCAGAGTTCTACAGGTTCAATTAGAGAAATTCTCAACTAGAATTTCTTACATGATGATAAGTTGTTTCGCCTACAGAAAGAGAAATCTGGGATTTTTTACAGGACTCACACCGATGAGTCCACCATTCTGGTAACCCAATAGCATCTCTAATGTTTCAGTAGTAATTCTAGTCGTCGTCCCTTCACCAACATAGGCATACATGTCCCCACCCTCAGTGGTGTAGGCCTCCACAGTCCGGTACACAAGATAATCCATTGAGAAACAAGAAGAAAGTGAGTTTATATTTCATATTTTTACCTTCTCTTTAAATTCATATTTCTATGTTTTGATAGGCTAATTGTGGTAGTATATGTAAATAAATACACATATAAGGAGGTACCTGCTCAAAATACTTTCAGCTACTGGGATGCATGATCAAAATGCAGAAACCTCTTCTCTAGTGCCCCATCCGTAAGGCTCCCTGCTGCGCTTCCATGGCTCCTGTCATCACACACAGAGTTCATGATTTTGGGCTCTGTGTTCACTCCTCTAGAGAGGATCTGGTTGGATGAGCCGGTCACCGTCCCGATCAGGTAGTTGAACAGAGCTCCTGATTCAGGACAATTCATAAACCCCTTCCCAGCCTCGAAATGTTGCCTGTAAGTACAACAGGCGTCCCCAGTACATTTCTCTGTGATTATGGTGCTGGAGTTAACAGAATACAGAGCATGAAACCTGTGAGTAAGGAACCTTCCCAAAGAAGGTAGTGGACTGGACAAGTACTCCTTTTGAAAGTAACTTATGACTGTTTAAAAAAGGAAGGTCAGAAAATGACTCTTTGCCTACCTGTACACGCCTTTCCCTGCTGATAAGGTACGGACAATGATAGGCAGAATGATGACACCACCACCCCCACCCGCCAAAGCTGTCTATGTCCTAGCCCCTGGAAACTGTGACTGTATTACTTGCTATGACAAGAGGAACTTTGCAGTTCTTTAACCATAAGCCTCGGATGGGGAAATATGCTGGCTGTTCAGCTGGGCCCAATATAATCAATCACAAAGGTCCTTATAAAAGGGAGCACAGGAGATATGACCACAAGACCAGAGACTGAAGTGCTGTGCTCTGAAAGTGGAGGAAGGGCCCATAAGCCAAGAAATGCAGGTGGCTTCTAGAAGCTACAAAGGCAAGGAAACAGATTCTCCTCCGAAGGCTCCATAAAGACTACAGCCCTGCTAACACTTTGATTTTAGATTTCACACTTCCAGAATTCTAAGACAGTTTGTGTTTTAAGTCACTAAGTTTGTGGTAATTTGTTTCAGCAGCAATGGGAAACCAATACACATGTTGATACTCACATTCTACAAAGCTTTCACTAAGCACTTTCTACATAAGAGGCACAAAAATACCAGGGTTCCTTTTTAAAACAATATTTTTAAGTTGTGTTTACTTGTGGTGCCGGTCGTCGTTGCTGAGCAGGCGTCCCTAGTCGTGGCGGACAGTGGCTTCTCTCGGTGTGGAGCGTGGGTTGCTCGTGGTGGTAGCTTCTCGTGGCGCAGGGGCTCTGGGCACGCAGGCTGCAGCAGTTGAGGTGCGTGGGCTCAGTGGTCGTGGCTCCTGGCCTCTAGCGCACAGGCTCAGTACTCGTGGCGCACAAGCATAGTTGCTCCGCGGCGTGTGGGGTCTTCCCCGATCTGGGATCACACCCCAGTCTCTTGCATTGGCAGGCTGATGCTTTACCATTGAGCTACCAGGGAAGCCCAGGGTTCTGTTTTGGGGTTTTTTTTTTAAACCTCATCTATAAAACTGTTGAAGAGCTGGGTTATGAGTGCTTTTCATTTGGGGGAGGCTCCTAATGCAGTGTGCTTTCAGTTGCCGTAAAGTAACAGGAATTTATTGGCTGCACTAACTGAAAAGTGCAGACTGGGCAGCATCAGGGCTCCGGCTTTGTTTCTCTGTGAATTTCTTGCCTCTGTTCCCGTCCCATTGTCAGCATCATCCTCAGATTTCCCTCATCTCGGGGTGCGTACCAGGAGCAGCTGGGGCCGGGTGCTGTAACTCTTCTGTAAGAAAGTGACTGGAAAGATTTCTATGTGTTAAGTTCAGGACAATCTTCAAATGGGATTGGGGTCAATCTTGCTCAAATTTCTTGGTTACTCTACTCAATAGGGGAAGGGGAGGTATTATAATTCCCCTTGGAAAATCTGGGTACTATTTGGAAGGGGAAATGATATTGATGAATAATCAAAAGTTTGTCATAACCAACAAAAGATAATTGTAATAATACCCTAAAATAATAGCTTAAAATGTTATTAACTTGTATAATGCTTCAGTATGAAAATCTATTGATTTATATGTATATTCGAAAGTTCTGGATATGTCTGCTCTTTCATGCATCATTCAGAAGCATTTCAGAGAAACATCTAAAAGTTCACAGTCTTGGGAAGGGTGTCTGTCTCTTTTTTTTTGCCCGCCCCCCCCACCCCACCCCACCCCGCCCCGGTGCTAATTACTCCACAGCAGTTTGATGACCTGCTTTACTGGCCTGTGAGGATTTCTTACCTTCTAGTATTGGAGTCTTCAGCTTTCCGTGTCCTTGTGGTCCTAGCTGCAATGAATTAGACTCTTTAAAACAAGCTTTCTCATGTAAACATCTTTTTCATGTAAGTTATTATTTCTGACATCTGTAATTGAGATACTTGATTACTTGAGCAAAATAAAGATGTCTGGCATTCAGGGTATTAAGAGATTTATAGTAGACAGGCACATTTCAAAATCTTCAAACCTGACTTTGTAAAAAAAAAATAATGGGCTCATTTCTTATACGTTAAACCAAGTAAAATATTACGGAATATAATGATTATTTCTAGAGAAGGGAGAGATTTTAGAAAATCAAATATTTTCACTTTCATATGTAGTAAGTCATTGTGAGATTTCAGTTATCTGACAAATTCCTCTAGCAATAATTGATAAATATATAATTAACTTGTATTGTTAGTGACTAATTCTGTCAAGTGCTGTGGGAAACAAGATAAAGGGCCAGTTACAACATATCATTACTTAAATAGGATTGAAGGATTATATTATTTGTACATTTGCTAAGTAGTTTTTTGAAATAGCTTCACATAGTTTATAATAAACTGTCTTTAGCAAATAGTTTTGACTTTTACAATATGCAGATGACCTACAGTTATAGAAACTCTAGTCCCTTAAGAATTTTGCTAATAATTCAGAGCATTGGCCTGACAGTAGAATCACCCAGAAACCCTGAAAAAATACCCAGAAAAATCTCCCAGAGGTTTTGATTCAGTTTCTCTGAGATGGGGTTTCTGCCACTGTTGAGAACCACTAATTTTGAACATCACACAAGTAGAGCACAAGTTGGTAACTTTAGGGAAAGGGATGGAATCTGTAAAGTAATAGACAAACAGCACAAATAAATGTTCATAGCAAGTTGAAGAGTCGTCCTACAGTTAGGACAGTGGATGCTTAATCCATATAAGAAGAATAAAATCTTAATTTACTTTTATAAAGTCTACTGGTAAAAAGAAATTATATCTTATTCTGAAAAGCTGTTTTTACATTGCAGAGCAGTCTCACATTTATTCACTTTTCTCATTCATATATTTCGAATTTTTAACAGTCCTCAACTGTTCCACTAGTCACAGAAGAGAGAGGTGGAAGCAGACTGGCAGTAATATTGGGTCAAGTAAACACAGGAAATAATATTTTTGAAAGTATAATATATGAGCCAATTCAAGCAAACAGTAAAAAAAAAAAAAGGTAGTTATTCAATAAGTGGTGTTGGGACAGTAGGCTATCCACTTGGAAAATAAAGCTATACAGAATAAATTCCAGACTGATCAGAGAGTTAGCTATAGAGATAGACAATGAGAGTTCAGAAGGTGATTTAGAGGGCTTTAAAATGTAATCATGGAGTGGGGCAGGTTGCTTCTTAGGCAAAACCCCAAATCCAGAAGTCACGAACTATTGAGTGTCCTGTAGTAAGTGAAGACTTAAGCTCTGACTTAAGGCAACGTTAGTTCATTACCATTTCTGATTTGTTTTCTTTTTTCACAGCTATATGATCTTGGAACTAAAACTATCCCATAAAAAATAAATTTAAAAAAAATCTTATAAATACCCGAAAAGTTGTTTAATCAAGGAAATGCATATTCAAACAATGAGACATCATTCTTTCTCTCTCATATTGGCAAATATTAAAAAGAGCCGGAAAGGGTGCAGTGAAAAAGACTCTCATACTCTGAAAAAGTCCCTCATACTCTGTTGGTGGAGTATCTATTGTGCAGCCTTTTTTGAAGGTGAATGAGCAATATCTAGAAGGTTAAAATGAGCGTGTACTTTGACTCAGCAATCCAGTTCTAAACATCCTTCACATTTATAAAGAGATAGGTACTCAGAGTTTTACGTTGGCATTGTTTGAAAATAGCTAAAAGTTAATATTCTGAATTCTTACCAATATGGGGTTAACGTTTTGGGAAGAAATGGAGAAGAGATTTTTTTTTTTTTTAACCTATAAGTGTCTGTAATTTTGCTATGAAAAACTACTGAAAATGGTTTTAGGCAATATTTTCCCTAAAAATTGTTAGCTCATTATGATGTTTTCTAATAAATGGCAGTTGCAAGGCACAACTGCTTTTAATCAAACATTAATGTGTGAATATCTTTTTATAAGCCCGTTTCATACCCGATTTTCTGCAGAATGGAAACAGACTGTAATCCCATGGAGCTGAGCGGCGTGTCAGGATTTGAAGAAGAAGCTGAGCTTAATGGCTTTGAAGGAACTGATATGAAAGACATGAGGCTGGAAGCCGAAGCAGTTGTAAATGATGTTCTCTTTGCTGTTAACACCATGTTTGTCTCAAAAACGCTGCGCTGTGCAGACGATGTGGCCTACATCAATGTGGAAACAAGGGAAAGGAACAGATACTGCCTGGAGCTCACTGAAGCAGGGCTCAGGGTAAGAAAAAAATCTTTACTACTTGATCCAAAAGGCTCAGGAATCAGGGACTGAAAAACAGTTTTAGGTGAGAACTTGATACTGAGTACCTTCCAAGATTTTTTTTTTAAGAAAGTTTTTTTTTTCCCCTAGGAATCTTATTAATTCTGAAGTCTTTCAGTCAACATAAGAATGGATTTTTTTGAAAAAGAAAAAACAGATTTGATTCTGATTATTTTGTTGTAACTGTCCCCCCGAATAAACTGATTTCTTATCTCTTGCTAAGCATGTCTAACAAAATTATGCATTCTCTGCACTGGATGAATTTTTTAGTCACTGTGTTGAATCTTTTTCCACCTCCTATAAATATCTCTTCTACTAAAACAACATACTGGAAGGAATTTCCTGGCGTTCCAGTGGTTAGGACTCCACCCTTTCACTGCTGAGGGCTCGGGTTTGATCCCTGGTCAGGGAACTAAGATCCCACAAGCAGCTCAGCCATAGTTACAGAAATAGATAGATCATGCTTGACTCCACCATTCACTAGCTGTTAGATCAGAATTAAGTCACAGCAGAACACTCTGCCTCCAAATTTCCAAGAATAAGTTCCTATTTATTACATGTAAGCTTTTCTAGGCAGAACGACCTCTCTGCATCCTTTAAACCAGAATCCTGAGTTTAGAATAACAGAAAGCACTACCTGAGAACAACTTTTCGTTTAAAAAAAAATTTTTGTTTTTAACCTATGGAACAAGGAATGGACATTAGAAATGTCTAGTTTAATTTTCAGTTCAGTTCAGTTCAGTTGTTCAGACGTGTCTGACTCTTTGCGACCCCATGAACCGCAGCACACCAGGCCTCCCTGTCCATCACCAACTTGCAGAGTCCACCCAAACCCATGTCCATTGTGTCGGTGATGCCACCCAACCATCTCATCCTCTGTTGTCCCCTTCTTCTCCTGCCCTCAATCTTTCCCAGCATCAGGGTCTTTTCCAATAAGTCAACTCTTCACATCAGGTGGCCAAATTATTGGAGTTTCAGCTTCAACATCAGGCCCTGCAGTGAACACCCAGGACTGATCTCCTTTAGGATGGACTGGTTGGATCTCCTTGAAGTCCAAGGGACTCTCAAGAGTCTTCTCCAACACCACAGTTCAAAAGAATCAATTCTTCTGCGCTCAGCTTTCTTTATAGTCCAACTCTCACATCCATACACGGCTACTGGAAAAAGCATAGCCTTGACTAGACGAACCTTTATTGGCAAAGTAATGTCTCTGCTTTTTAATATGCTATCTAGGTTGGTCATAACTTTTCTTCCAAGGAGCAAGTGTCTTTTAATTTCATGGCTGCAATCACCATCTGCAGTGATTTTGGAGCCCAGAAAAATAAAGTCAGCCTCTGCTTCCACTGTTTCCTCATCTATTTCGCATGAAGTGATGGGACCGGATGCCATGATCTTACTTTTCTGAATGTTGAGCTTTAGGCCAACTTTGTCACTCTCCTCTTTCACTTTCATCAAGAGATTCTTTAGTTCTTCTTCACTTTCTGCCGTAAGGGTGGTGTCATCTGCATATCTGAGGTTATTGATATTTCTCGCGCAGTCTTGATTCCAGCTTGTGCTTCCTCCAGCCCAGTGTTTCTCATGATGTACTCTGCATATAAGTTAAATAAGCAGGGTGATAATATACAGCCTTGACGTACTCCTTTTCCTATTTGGAGCCAGTCTGTTGTTCCATGTCCAGTTCTAACTGTTGCCTCCTGACCTGTATACAGGTTTCTCAAGAAGCAGATCAGGTGGTCTGGTATGCCCATCTCTTTCAGAATTTTCCACAGTTTATTGTGATCCACACAGTCAAAGGCTTTGGCATAGTCAATAGATGTTTTTCTGGAACTCTCTTGCTTTTTCGATGATCCAGTGGATGTTGGCAATTTGATCTCTGGTTCCTCTGCCTTTTCTAAAACCAGCTTGAACATCTGGAAGTTCACGGTGCACATATTGCTGAAGCCTGGCTTGGAGAATTTTGAGCATTACTTTACTAGTATGTGAGATGAGTGCAATTGTGCGATAGTTTGAGCATTCTTTGGCATTACCTTTCTTTGGGATTGGAATGAAAACTAACCTTTTCCAGTCCTGTGGCCACTGCTGAGTTCTCCAAATTTGCTGACATATTGAGTGCAGCACTTTCACAGCATCATCTTTTAGGATTTGAAATAGCTCAACTGGAATTCCACACCTCCACTAGCTTTGTTCTTAGTGATGCTTCAGAAGGCCCACCTGACTTCACGGCTCTGGGTGAGTGTGAGTAATCACACCTTCGTGATTATCTGGGTCATGAAGATCTTTCTTGTACAGTTCTTCTGTGTATTCTTGCCACCTCTTCTTAATATCTTCTGCTTCTGTTAGGTCCATACCATGTCTGTCCTTTATTGAGTTGATCTTTACATGAAATGTTCCCTTGGTGTCTCTAATTTTCTAACCCTAACCCTAATTTTCTTGAAGAGATCTCCAGTCTTTCCCATTCTCTTATTTTCCTCCATTTCTTTGCATTGATCGCTGAGGAAGGCTTTCTTATCTCTCCTTGCTTTTTTTTGGAACTCTGCATTCGGATGGGAATATCTTTCCTTTTCTCCTTTTCTTTTTGCTTCTCTTCTTTTCACAGCTATTTGTAAGGCCTCCTTGGCCAGTCATTTTGGTTTTTGCATCTCTTTTTCTTGGGTATGGTCTTGCTCGCTGTCTCCTGTACAATGTCATGAACCTCTGTCCATGGTTCATCAGGCACTCTTGTCTATCAGATCTAGTCCCTTAAATCTATTTCTCACTTCCACTGTATAGTCATAAGGGATTTGATTTAGGTCATACCTGAATGGTCTAGTGGTTTTCCCCACTTTCTTCAATTTAAATCTGAATTTGGCAATAAGGAGTTCATGATCTGAGCCACAGTCCACTCCCGCTCTTGTTTTTGCTGACTGTATAGAACTTCTCCATCTTTAGCTGCAAAGAATATAAACAATCTGATTTCAGTGTTGACCATCTGGTGATGTCCATATGTAGAGTCTTCTCTTGTGTTATTGGAAGAGGGTGTTTGCTATGACCAGTGCGTTCTCTTGGCAGAACTCTGTTAGCCTTTGCTTGCTTCATTATGTACTCCAAGGCCAAATTTGCCTGTTACTCCAGGTGTTTCTTGACTTCCTACTTTTGCATTCCAGTCCTCTGTGATGAAAAGGACATCTTTTTTGGGTGTTAGTTCTAGAAGGTCTTGTAGGTCTTCATAGAACCGTTCAACTTCAGCTTTTTCAGCATTACTGATCAGGGCATAGACTTGGATTACCGTGATATTGAATGGTTTGCTTTGGAAATGAACAGAAATCATTCTGTCATTTTTGAGATTGCATCAAGTACTACATTTCTGACTGTTTTGTTGACTGTGATGGCTACTCCATTTCTTTTAAGGGATTCCTGCCCACAGTAGTAGATATAATGGTCATCTGAGTTAACTTCACCCATTCCAGTCCATCTTAGTTCACTGATTCCTAGAATGTCAACGTACACTTTTGCCATCTCCTGTTTGACAGTTCCAGTTTGCCTTGATTTATGGACCTAACATTCCCGGTTCCTATGCAATATTGCTCTTTACAGCATCAAAACTTGCTTCTATCACCAGTCCCATCCACAGCTGGGTGTTGTTTTTGCTTTGGCTCCATCCCTTCATTCTTTCTGGAGTTATTTCTCCACTGATCTCCAGTAGCATATTGGGCACCTACTGACCTGGGGAGTTCATCTTTCAGTGTCCTATCTTTTTGCCTTTTCATACTGTTCATGGGGTTCTCGAGGCAAGAATACGAAGTGGTTTGCCATTCCCTTCTCCAGTGGACCACATTCTGTCAGACCTCTCCACCATCACCTGACCGTCTTGGGTGGTCCCATACGGCATGGCTTAGTTTCACTGAGTTAGACAAGGCTGTGGTCCTGTGATCAGATTGGCTAGTTGTCTGTGATTGTGGTTTCAGTCTGTCTGCCCTCTGATGCCCTCTCTCAGTGCCTACTGTCTTACTTGGGTTTCTCTTACCTTGGACGTGGGGTATCTCTTCACGGCTGCTCCAGCAAAATGCAGCCGTCGCTCCTTACCTTGGACCAGGGGTCTCTCCTTTTGGCCGCCGCCCCTGACCTTGGACGTGGGGTAGCTCCTCTCAGCTGCGCTTGTGCACCATGGTTCTATTTAACTTTACTAATTAACCTTGGGAATTCCCATGCAGTCCTGTGGTTACAACTCTGCGATTTCATAGCCAAGTTCAACCTCTGGTCAGGAACTAAGATCCTGCAAGTCACATGGCACATCTTAAATAAATAAATTTGCCTTCAAGCTTGGTCAGAAATCTGACTTTTCTGTTTCTAAATCTGTTAAGAGGAGTTCTCCCAAAGTTGCACAGGATCATGAAGTAGTAGAGTACATGATTTAAGCAAGTAAGAAGGTCATGTGATACATTAAACAAGCACGTGAATTTTATTTCACTGGATTCAGTTTCCCTAAGATGTGTGTGAGTCACATGTTCTGTGTATCCCCTGGTGGAGGCTCACTTACATTGAAACCCAAGTTGTAACTACTCTCATTTCTTGCACAACTTTATCTTGACTTTGAGAATAATCCTGGAATTAACTAGTCTTTATGCTTCCCTTCCTAAATCCCTAAATTTGTACCCAAAACTTGCAGTGTTTAGAAGTGGATCTTATATAGAAATAGACAAAGCAAAAGTAGAAATAAATAACCCTAGGTAAATTAATTCTAACACTGTTTAATTCTGGTGAGGTAGGAAAGGTTTTGATGACAGTTAGAAATCTTTGTGAATTTGAGTGACCTTGGGTGAGTCAGTCAGCTTTAGTCCCTGCTTCTTTATCTGTAACTTAGAGATTTAAAACAAAAGCTGAAAAGGATTTGGGGGATGTTATGTGAATAAAGTTTGCACAAAGATCTGGGTCAGTTATAAAACCTGGCACATAGGTACTCAAATATTTATTTTTTTCAGTCTGATTCACTTGACATTTATTAACTATCCTGTGTGGGGAATTAGACATCAAACCATGTAAATAAGACATGCCCCCTGTTCCCAGGAAGACCACAGATACCAGGGATAAGAGAGGAACAAACAAAACCATAGTGGGCCATAGACTGGACTGAGACAGGGTGTGGTTCCACAGTGGTGCAGTTCATCTTCCTTAGGTGTCTGCCTCTGCTTTTCATTGGAAACAACAGCACTGCTTCTGTTTGTGGCATAAACATGCATCTCCTATGGCTTGAGTAGATGTCATAAAAATTGAGAGTCTGTATGAGGAATCCACAAGCTTTAGTGAAGTCAGCAAAACCTACGTTGATTTTGCCCTACACTATGCTGGTGAACCAGGGTATAGGTCTTATAATCTTGTTGGAGAAAAAAGCTTTAGCTGTGTTTAAAGGAAAAAACAAAAAGAAAAACACACACACAGAATAACATTGCCTTTTATGTCACAGAATTGAGCAGATAAGTCATGTATTAGTAACATGAAAGTGTCATTTCAGATAACTAATTATAAACCAGAATTAAAACTATAAGTAAATTTTAGAATTCTTTATTTTAAAAAAAATTTAAAAAGAGCTTCTTATTTAAAATAAGAATAAAAAATAAAAAGAATAAAAAAGTATTATAATTATTAATTATAGTAAATGTAATTAGTATAGTGTCTTTATAAAAAGACCCTCTAAAGTATATGTAGAATTAAGTAGAAACATGTTTTAGACTATGAAATGAAATACTGTTTTTGTATAGCCTTTTCAACTCTTTTCTGTATTTGCAGGATTAAGAGTGAGTAAATCAAACCTTTTAAATTTTGAGAAAAAATGGTGAGAGCATTTTGCTGGTGATGCTCCTTATGTTATAAATTGCTTAAATATTATAGGTTTTACGGATATTTAAAATATGTGTATTCTAAGTATTGATTGAGAAGTGCATAATGTCATTAGAGAGTGACCCATGTAAAAACTTGTGTTTTTTTTGCTTTCTGTACCAAGATGAAATCTGATTATTTAATTCACTGTTGCATTTTTCTCGTAGGTGGTAGGGTATGCTTTCGACCAGGTGGACGGTCATTTACAGACTCCCTACCACGAAACAGTCTACTCCTTATTGGATACGCTCAGCCCTGCATACCGGGAAGCATTTGGAAATGCGCTCCTTCAAAGACTGGAAGCTTTGAAAAGAGAGGGACAGTCATGACTAAGCTTTTTTCCTGTTAGAGGAGGCTCCTGCTGGTACACAAGGTTGACATACAGCTTGAAACTGCTACATATAGTCATAGCAGAAAATGCATCTTTGATTTTGTATCGTTTATCATTTTTTTTGCTTCACATGTAGGCTTTTGATTGATTATTGACTAATGAATTGTCTTTCGTAGTTTCTGATTCATTTAGGAAATCGAGGTCACTGCTGTGACACCATCATTAAGACATTCAGATTTCTTCATGTAGTATCTCTGCATTTCAGAAACCTAAGCAGTATTTTATTCTCTTATTACAGGACTTTGAGGCTGCCAGCACTCTCTCTTACCTAGGAAATTCTAGATTTGCACAGTAATAGAGGAAATAAAATGACCTAACTTCAGACTTTGATTCAGCTCGCTAAATCAGGGGTTTACTACTAGCTCAGACTAACTTTGTAGTAATTATCTTGCTACTAGCCTTATTGGAAACAAATTATCAACTAGTTTCCCCTGCACAAATTTTTAAATTCACTGCTTCATTGAATCTATTTATATTATTAATATGGACTGATAAAAATGAGTTCATTATATATTACATAGCTAGTATTTACATGAAAAACAGGTACTGAAATAGTACTGTATTCCTTATTTGCAACAGCCAGCCAATGAAGAGGACAAACCTAGCAAATGAATGTAACAATTACTTGGTTCCAAGATATTTAAGCACATAAACAAATATAGGAACAGGCTCCATTCTCTTCCTAACAAAAAGCATCTTTAGCGTGTGTGATGTAAAAGAAAGGAGATTCTGATTTCCTAGAAAACGATATTTTGGCCTGTGTTGATTCTTATTATGAATGTTTGTTTACATGATGTACAGTATATATTCAGAAAGTATTTTTGCTTCAGCGTTTACTTTCTATGATGTAGTGCTTTGGTATTCCCACAGCACCCCTCCTTCCCAACAGATGTATAGTGTTCTGTCTTGATGCAAAATCTACAATGTCACATGAGCGCATTGTATGGGTTTGAAACCAAAGGATGAATGAAGCATTCAGAGACTTACTATTTGAAAAAGGGAGACTCTGTATTTTATATTTTATTACAGGTACTAATATTTATAATAAAATAAACTATACCATGCTGCTACATCTTTTCAAGTACATGTTAAATATTAAGAATTGGGAAGTTGTTTTTTTAATACTAGTCAAAGCAGCAGCTATACAAATGTTGAACTAAAATTCTGCATCTGGACATACCTTCATAATTTGTCATTTGAAGACTTTTATAAATCATTATTAAACAGTAGTACTTTTAGACTCTTGAAGATCATGTAGACCAGAGCAAGTTTAAAGTTTTGTTTGGGTTATTATTGTCAGAGTTCATCGGAATGCTTAAATTATGTTTGACAAATGAATATTCATCCTCAGCTTTATTTTCACATGCTTAAGTGTTTGGGCAATGAAGTCTAACTTCAGCTTGAATTTTCTCATGCTTAATCTCAGGCTAAATGTAAAGGGTATTTGTACAGTTTGAATAAAATTCTGTTTACTAATTTTGAGTTAAGTATGGAGAAAAGTGATTGTATGTTTAAAGTTGAAAGTGTTCATTTTGTGATAAATATTTGATTCCAAGAGCTTCCATTTTTGAATTCCATGTTGTTCCATTTCATTGTGAAGTGATTATTACTATGAAAGAGCAACAGAGAGAGAAGACATTAATAAAACTACAGATATTAAAACCTCCACTATATATTAAATCCTTCATTTTATTTAGATTTTTTAAAGACTTTAACCAGATAAATTAAGCCTTGATTTCACTTCCAAAAGAAAAAAGAACCTCCAGATAAGTAACTATTATAAATCAATAAAGAAAAAAAGAGAATAAGGGGTAAATAATATATGATCAACTCAGAAAAATATACACATGTCCAGTAGCCACTTGAAAGATATTCAACCAAACCAGTAACTCAGGAAAGGAAAATAGGTTTTAGCTATTTGAGTCATTTTTACCTAATAATAATGTGTCAGGATTAAATTCTATCAATAAAGATTTAGTGAAGGACACAGTTACCTTCTCATGGAAGCTGTGTTGGTGAAACCTTTCTGGAAGATACTGGTAATAGAGCCTTTACAAAGCTTATAACTTACATGCTGGTAATAGCCTCGCAGGCTAGAACAGGGACATGATTCAGCAGAATATATACAACAAGGATGTCATTTTCACTAATGAAAAATTGAGAAGTCTCTAAAAAAGTGGTTAAGCTATGCCAGATCCTCTTGATGGAAAAATATGCAGCCATTAAAAATTGGGGAAAGTTATACTACAGGAAAAAACAAGCTTTTAAACCTATTTGAAAATAATCACATATGTAACGGAAAAATGGAATAAAAAATATTCTACAGTGTTAATATAGTAGTCATCACTAGGTGGTAAGATAGGTTATTTTCATTTTCTTTTACATATATTCTATGTTATCTTAAGTATACTAATTAGAGAGGGGAAATGCAATAGATAATGGTGTTCAAACCAGCTGAAGAACTCTCCTTTCTAGCAAAAGCACAAGCTGTGCTGAGTTGTACCTGCTCCCAGGATCCTTGAAGAGGCAGTATGTTTGTGAAGAGAATACACACACTTCATTTCCCATGATAACTCTTCCCACTTTTCCTCCAGGTCCAGAATCAATCTTTACACATCCCACATAGCTCAGCAGCAGTTACTGGAGTTCTGAGCCTTCATTCGCTTCTTCCATCACAACGCTGCACTGTTCTCTTCCCCAGTGTTCAAAAACCACAAAATATGCAGTTCGATTGTTACAGGGGAACAGGATAGGAAAACACTGAGATTCTGATATGTGCCACTTGAACTTCAGAATTCTGCCTTCCACCCCTTTGTTTGTGTATGGCATCGTCAAATGAAACCTGGACAGATTGTGGTGCTGGCTCAGCAGCTCACCTGTGAGAAGGAAAGTAGGGTCAGAAACCAGGTCTTCTGACTCCAGCAATCATCCCCATACAGTATGTCCATAAAAGCATCCCCTGAACTTTGTGGTTGTGTGAAAGCTGACTTTTTAAGAGGAAAGGAACAGGGAACTACACTCAATATCTTGTAATAATCTATGTATGTAACTGGATCACTGCTATCCATCTAAAACTAACAAGACTGTACAGTAAATAAACTATACTTTAAAAATATTTTTTTAAAGAAATAATAGTAAAAGATAACTGGTATAATAGAATTGATCAATGGAATCTCCTTTCCTAACCTACCAATATGCTATACAATTCTCTGGAAGCCACCCCCTTGTACCTGGCACTAGCTCATTTACCTGTTACCAAAATGTAAACAGTAAGAATGCGACAAAAGTGAGTTATATTTTATAGTAGCATGACCGGTTGAATAAAAGTATTAACCGGCCTAACAGCATTTCATTCGGGACAAACTGAAAATCCAGAAATGAGGCATCTAGTGAATTTTAGAATATTCCACCTAACAGGTCTTTATAAAAAATGAACAATATTTATTCCAAGTTCTGTACTGGTCTTGCAAGAATATTTTTACATTTAAGTTGACAGCACTTTCGTTTTAATAATTAAAAAGAAAAAATGTTGCTGTGAGCAAGCTGTTATTGTTCGCAGAATTTCGAAGTGTTATTTAATCAAAACAAGTTTCAATGAGACAAGTGTATAAAAAGAAAAGGGAGTGGGGACAAAAAAAGGAATGAAAAGGCTCCCATTTGTGCAAATGTGCTTTAGCATTACAGAAAAAAAAGCAGTGTCACTTTTGGAGACCATTTCAGAAAATGCTTACGTATATCTTATTTAATCCTGACAGCCCTGTTAGGTTGGTGGTTTTACCCCTGTTTTATAGTCACTTTAACAGCTCATGTAAGGTTAAAAGGTTGGCTCCAGTCTCCCACAAGTAAGTGCCGAGCTGGAAGTCGGAGCCAAGTCTCCCAAGTGTTCAGAACCCCCAGGCTGGCCAGCTCCCTGGCCATTTCCATTTTTTGAGGCAATCAGTATTTTTTTTTTTAGTGAAAGTAAAGTGTTAGCCACTCAGTTGTGTCTCACTCTTCATGACCCAATGGACTGTAGCCTGCCAGGCTCCTCTGTCTATGGAATTCTCCAGGCAAGAGTGGGTAGCCATTCCCTTCTTCAGGGGATCTTCCCAACCCAGGGATCAAACTCGTGTCTCCTGCATTGCAGGCAGAGTCTTTACCATCTGAGCCACCAAGGAAACATTAAAAAAAATTCATGTGTTAAATATTTACATTTAAGAAGTTAATATTTAAAGCATAAAAAATCTACTATTCTAAGATAACAGGCTATATATACAGTCCACCATGACCTTTGTGGTTCTGCGTTAACATCTTTTAATTCGTCGGCAACTTCTTGTCCAGCCTGATTTGGAAAGGGCAGTCTACATTCTATCCATTTGTGAAAAAGAGGGTGGATCCCAGCACAAATGGCCTCCAGCTACCCACCCCCCCACCCCCGGCCCCGCAGCCCCGGAACCGCTAAACCTGTAAAGCCCAGTGGACTACCACCACTGCAAGGGCTCGCTGTGGATCCTGAGCCCTGACCCTGGAACTCCATGGCAACAGCCCTCCTTTGCAGTAGAGGATTAAGTCAAACCCTCCGGAACAGACCATCCTACAACCGGCATGTTAATTCACTTCAACATTTCGGGGAAGGCCTAGGCTTTTTACCTTCTCATCAGATCCATCAATATCTTTAGTGCTCCGGGTCGGGGGGACACTGGGACGTGTTTCCGGAGTTCCCGAAAGATAGAGAGGAAAGGGAATGGAGGGCCCGCCCTGCCCGAGGGCACCGGCGAGAAGCAGAGCAAAGCGGGGCCCCAGCTGCGAGCACTCGGGCAGGGACGCGGCGGGCCAGCCCTGCGCCCTAGGCGGGGAAAACCCTCAGGGCGCGGGAAACCGGAGGCCCCGTCCCCGCCCCGGGAACGCCCCGCCCCGCGCCCTAGGCCCCGCCCCCGAAGGGCCGCCTGGGCTCCGCGG